GTGATTTCTTGAGTAATTGTCTTAGTTTTATTTACCCCTTTTGAGATTTTATTTGAAGCCACGAAACCATCGTGACAACATGTAGCGGAGGTCTCTAGCCATCAAGAATAATTCTCTGGAATGGATTTCTTAAAGAAGTAACTCAATTCAGCTTCGATCAAAGAGAGTGAAAATTCAGTAGGTCCAATTCGTTGAAGGTATAAGAGCTCACGTTGAATATAATGTTGAAACTGCTATAGTCTTTAATATCTTTCGTACATTGAACTCGCTTTTGTCCCCAATATTTGAGTTTCGAAACATAAAGATTCTGACTTTAATTCTGATGATCCAAACATTGGCCTTGAAAAATCAGATTTCACTTGCCGAAAGTATGATGGTTTTAATGATTATACAGGAAAAAGAATTATAAGCATAGAAATCAAAAGAGACTGTGTTATGACATAGTTACGTGAGATTAGTTTAAGTGAATTATTTGATGAACACTTTACTGGTCATATATGTGAAAATTTGGTTAACGTAATTAGGCAGATTTACAATTATATGGTCACAGACGAATTACAATATAGCATACTTATAACCTATGATTACTATTAGTTCTTTCGCCATTCAAGTGCTGATCTATCAATACTATTAATTTTTGAATCTCTTCCGTTACAGTCAACAAGTTCGCCAGTATTCAAAACTTATGCATACTTGGTCCGCCTAGCAACAAGTGAACCTAAATTACCTCATCCAAATGTAATTTCAGGACGAACTAGATAAGATATCAGAGTACAAGTTTCAGAATTCAAAACTTGGGTTTCTATAACTAAAGTTTCAGTTAAAGTTTAGGTCCAGATAGTAGTTATCACAACCAGCAAGGCTCTAGGGATCAGACCTCTGAAGATCAAGATTCTATAACAGGAATAGAAGAACAAACTTATGGCTATAAGAATTTCAAGCTTGAAGGTATTCTAGGATGTGAACAAACTGGAAGGACATTTCGAGCCAGATTCCATGAAGAGTCAATTGCTTTGAAGGTTATTGATCTATATAAGGAAGCTGATCTCTTACATAAAATTTGAAAAGAAATTGAAATATACAAAAATCTTATCAAAATTCAAGGAATATACAGTGGTGAGCAAAAGAAACGCAACCACTATTGGTTACCTTTAAAAGCTTATAACAGGTTAACTATGGGGG